GAGAAAGCTCTGGAGCGATCTTGCAAAGAGATGTCTGAATGTAACACAGATGCCATCCATGCAACCACCTCCCACTTGTCACAGAGGGGATCAGTTGGAAGGAGAACATCTTAATGCTGTTATGGTGGATGACACCATCTACCAGAGTGAGACAGGGAGGAGTTCTCTCAGGGGAGCGATGGGGGCTTTGCAGAATCTCAGATAGTTCAGTGCTGCACTACAGTTTATGTCTTCACCTTCCTTCTATACCTTTCAGGCAAATTTGGACAAGAAGCAGTTGAAGACAGGAACTGCCTCTTCCTCCATCTGTAGAGCTGTTGACTCTTACCACACCACGGCCAACTCTCAGTTAGAAACCTGTGACACAGAAGTGATAAGTCAGTTCAGAGGAAACAGCTGGGGGTCACAAGAAAGCAAAAGTGTCTGTATGACACAGTCAATGGCTCTGGAAAGATCCTTTCTTTCAGACTGGTGAACAGGAAAAAATCTAAAAATGAAAGAATTGGAAGAGCAGGGCGTTAGAAATATATATTTTGAAGAGCAATAAAATGTGACTTCAAAGCAGTTTCACAGCAAATGTTAAGTCTTTTACTTTCCTGGAAAACAGTTCATTCTGGGGAAACGGCTACATGGGGAAAAAACACTTTCTACAACTTTCTGCAATTGCGGGTAGGCTGCTGGTTCCGCGGTACCTCTTCGCTCAGTGCATCGGTCAGATCTGTCAGCAAGGCTTCCTCTGCAATGTCACGGGCAGACAGGAGGTGTGTGATATCAAAACAGTGAAGTTTCTCCTGGAAGCGTATCAGAGAGGCAGCCCACACACTGTGCCTGTAACACATGCCACAGTCTCACAGTTTCTCCTACAAACTGTAACAATAAAGATAAATTACTTGCATTCATCTGAAGGAATGGAGCGAATCACTCGCCCGTTTCTCCCACATGAGACCCCCAAACTCACCTTCCAGCTCTCCACAGCATTTCAAAGGGCAGTTTGATGGCAAATGCAACTGCTTTCTTCGGTTAGAATCTGTCTTGTCGCAGACACAGCAGCATCATCCAATCTGTTCCTTGGTAAAATCACGAAACGCAGAAACTTACGCGTGCTAGATTGTCTGAAAAACTGACATTTTACCAGTCATCAGTCAGAAAGAGTCACACCTGTGCAAAATCAGAGTAACTACACCCAGCAAAACTGGATGCACGTAAAATTACTTATCGTCATCCCAAGCATGCAGACCGAGATTATCTATTGAAATGCCAGGCGTAAGTTATTCATTAACTAAAACCATTCTGTAATTTTATTGATATATTTTGTGGAGTTCACATATTTTTGTACAGCAAACATAACACTGTAGGCCACAAGAAGCTGCAGCACTATTGTTTAATAGCAGCAAGGTATATTTTATAATCAGGGTATGTGGACAATAAATAGTCTGTTTCTTTGGATGTGAATGTTTAAAATGAAGTTCTGCTGCAGCTTCATAATGTGATTGCTATTTTACAGAGCTTATACACAAAAATATATACGCAATCTTTTTGTCTATATTTTATACAAATACAACAGTAGTTTGTGAATACATTTTAAAGTACATATACATGATAAGCAACTCAATTTCCCATATCACAGGATAGCAAATTTTTAAATGCAAGAAACATACACAAATTCTGTCTGGAATGCAGGGTTTTCTGTGTTCTTTTTTTCTCTATTTTTGACTCAAAAATTTTATCATTGAAAGATTTTAGCATTCGAGTCCAAACAATTTTCCCACTATCTAAAAAATAGAATTTCAGCAATCCGAGTCAGGTTTGGGTTTGTCAGCATTCCCCAATATACTCTTTCCCAGTTTTTGTCTAAATTTAGAAGCTTTTAGTAATATATAGTATGTTCTTCACTCCACACCATATAAAAAGCCCACATTTAATTTTAACTAAATCATCTATTTTTGTGAACAAGAGCTGGGCTTGTCAGCGTTTAAATTTGCATGTCCAACATTTTACTTCTGCAAGTGCATATGAATACATTGTGGTGTTGTACAAAGTTCATTAATGACAAATTAAGTCACAGTATAAAAATATATCATACAACTATAGGTCTAGTATAGTCCTTTTTTCTATGGGTAAAAATACATCTGAATGAGACAGGGAGGTTTGTAGCACCATGAGAGGAGTTGTATCCCAAGTTACATTAGCAGCATGATCCAATATAACAATATTGCAGGAGTGTTTCTGAGGAGATAAACATTCACTCTGGTTCAACTGTACCACTGAAGCTTATACTGAAAAGTGTTTACATATGATTAGCAATAGTTCTGTGTCACTTCCAGGGCTAGATAACTGTTATCAAAAGACACTGCCTTCCAACAAAGTAAGACACCCTTATTACATAAAGCTTTGGGACTATCCAAACACATTTTGAACTACTGTGGCATTGTTTGTACGCTGAGTGTAATGCTAATGCCTATGGTTTTAATTGTACACTGGGAAGATGCAGAATGGGCAGCTAAGTCTATACAGTTTACTACATACCAGGTAAGTACATTTATTTCGGAGGCTTATCTATAGACTGAGAAGAATACAGGATGAGCTGCTAAACCAGTGTATGAGACAGACATAACGAAGGATGCAGCCCTGCTCCCCTTGACGTCTACGGATGCAGGATCAGGCCCTAAGTTAACTTCAGACAGCAGCATAGCGTTGAGAGCATATGATAAAAAAATCTGCATCAAATACTGCGTGTTAAATATTTTTGCAATAGTTACCACCCAGAACTCCAGAGGACACAATTTACAATTGGTGAGGACAAACTCTTTCTTTTTCTTTTCTTTTTTTTTTTTTTCTTTTTTCTTTTTTTTTTTGACTGGTATTCAAAATGGCAGTAGAAGACAGTGTAGTTTGAAACATGTAAACCTAGTAAAAACCATTGTAAAACCCTTAAGAAAGACACACTGGTTCTGTGCAATATAGCAAATTGATAAGAAAACACTGTAAAAATGTACCTGTTTAAAATTACAATGTCTACCATTTTGTACACAAAGCATTATACCAAAGGCCTACATATATGTAATCTAATGGCACTTGAAACAAATTATAATAAAAGGTTTTATAATAAAAAGCATAACCTGTAAGAAACTTTCTTAAAAGGTTTAGGTTTTCTTTTGAAAGTGCTATATCTTGTAATATGTGTAACATAGAGGTTGACCAAGCTTTATTTTAAAAAATATTGGCCTATAATACATGTTTAGCTCACTAGGCAAATGATCCTGAAAATATGTACTCTTAACATTCATTATTAGCTTAATAAAGCAATCAGCTCTGGCTCATGTTTCAGTCAGTATATGGTTTTAAAAAACCGCTACTGCCAAATTAACAATAAATCACTCTATTCCACAATTTACTACTAAATTAAGCACAAGCAACAAGTACACAAAAATATATATATTAAAAAAAAAAAAAAACCAACAGAACAGAACAAACAAAACAAAACAAAACAGAAACCAACAAACCTCACTAGAAGTTTCGAAGTTGCACAAAGAGTGGTGCACGATCAGCCAGCCCTCCCCCCTCCCTCAAAGAACCAATTTGAAACCTAGAAAACAGGGTTTAAAAAATGACGTTTTAGTAGTTGCCAATACTGACTCTGCCTAAATAATATCCAAAAGCACTGATGTGTTAATATTGCTTACAGTGTCATATCTGCTTCCGCACCGTCCTGCATCCTAGCTCAGCGGCACAGGCCGAGCGCAGCCGCCGGCTGCAGCCCTGACTGAATGAGGTTCAATACCTTGTCTGAGGTCCCTGCTCCTCCACTGAAATGTATGTCTACCTCTGAAGTGAAATGTCAACCCCTTCTCAGGAAGCTAAGGCACTAACCAAGGAGTAAGGACTCCGGCTAAGTACTAAGAACTGGGTGTTGGCCGAGTGTTTGTTGGGTTTTGTCATCGAGTCTGATCAGCGGCTGGGACTGATAAGAGGTGGCACTGCCCTGCGCTGAGTGTCACGTGTGCCACATCGACTCCCCTCAGCGAGCATCTGGCCAGCTATCTGGCAGCGGCAGAGGAAACCGAACTTATTTGTGACGCTCGAGCAAAGAACTCCCTCCAGGCCATCCAAAAACTGCCCACAGAGCTGAAGCTCCCAGGGCCTGTGTGCATCACTGTCGGGAAGAAGAGAGCGGCCCATCCATTCCACAGCCGCTGCCAGAGCCGAGCAGAGCATCTCTCTGCTCACAGGGAGAGGCTGGGCTCTGCTTCACGTGGAACAGAGCTCACAGGAGCAAGGGAGGCCGTTGCTCTTCATCCCAAATTGTCTGAAGAGACTCAGAAGAAAGCCAAGTTGTCCCTACGTGCATTGTGGTTGCTGATTTTTAACCAGAAATACATTCTGTGGCGTTCACCTTGTGCTCTGTTCACCTGTGTTTTTCTTTCCTTTATAAAAGCGATGAGAAAAAAAAACAAAAAAAGCAATATTGAACAAATCATTCAACTAAAGATGTAAGTAAGCAAGCGATCTGTTTCATAGAAACCAGAGGAAGCAGTCATGAAGCAGAGCTAAAAGCCCACTTTGAGATAACAAGCTCCTAAACCCAAAATCTAGGAGCAATTTGTAGAATTTCAAAAGGTATTTTCCTTATTAATACATCCTTATTTTAATGCCTTTGGAACACAAACACATTTATAAAAATGTTATCTTTCAGTAATAAAATTTAAATACATATATGTATAAAATAGTAAAACTACACCTGCATATTGCTCCTAGAATTAAAAAAAAAAAGTAGGAGCTACTGATAAAACATCTGGAGCATGAGCTCCTTAAATGGGAGCAACTTTTGTTTCTGTGAAGTATATTTAGTTTAACCACTTAAAACCTCGTATGAATCCTCATTATTGTTTGAGAGATACTAATGTACTCAATTTCTATTTTAATTCCTCGTACAAAAATGACAAGGAAAAGTGTGTTATTGTTGAATTACAGCAACTTGAGTTTGCTTTCGTGCATCACAGGTTTGTTTTTTTTTTTTTCTTTTTTCCTCTTTTGGTTATTAGGGGTTGGGGAATAGAAAATATTGCATTAGGCAAAAGTGGTGTAAGCAATATGCTTTTACTTCACTCCTAAGAGTCCTGTCTTTAAATCTTGGCAGTGGGCAAAAAGTCCCTAACCAAGTACCCAGGTGTAGAAAGTATGATTAACATCTAACTTGTTGCTTAGGAGGACATAACACACCATGTAACACAACTGAAAAGTTCATTCCAATAAAAAAAAAAAAAACCCAAAAAATGGTATCTGTAAATTTACATTCACTCTCTGACTGCACACTAATATTGAAGTTAAAATAGATACACACTTTCTGGCTGGACTTGATCCACCCTTTGGTGGTGGCAGCTGGGAGAAGACCGATGCCTACAAAAGTCAGTACGCTACTGGAAGATTCCTATGCAGTACTCTTTCTATGCTACTAAAGGTAAAAAAAAACAGCAAGTTAAGAATTAAAACAAAAACTGCGACAAAATATTCTGCATTACTAAATTACAACACTTTTATATTTCAAGATCAGCCATTAAATTTGCCTGTTTTCCTCTACCAGAGTCATGAAAGCACAACACAGTTCCAAATTCAACTTGAAACTTTTGTCAGTTAGGCAAGCAGAGATTCTCTGTTGAAGTTCTGTTCAGCCACGGTTTTAGAAAATTAAACTGTATTCTTTTTCTTCCAATATTTATAACAAGCCACAAAAATTTAAGCCAGAAAATGGCAAAATTCTTAACACCTTTTATAATGACTTCAATATAAGTCAAAATGTTATATATATGTACATGTGTATATATGGACTTCGACATATACACATCCAAATTTTCAGAAAAATCTGAATTCTATCTTCATTTAAAAATCAAAATTTGTCATTATGGAACAGATCAGATGTCACCATTTGGGAAGAGGTTTTTTTTTTTTTTGGAAAGGGAACGGAGAAAATTTTTCCCTGATCTTCAGGAACCTTTGTGATACACGTTTGAAATGGATCCTTTGCAAATGCTGTAATATATAAAAGGTAAAAATGGTAGCTCCACCACATCAATAGAACAGAGTGGCTGTAAGGTTGAAAAGGTTTTAAAAGGGATGCGTGTTGAAAGTTTGCTTGGGATGACTTTCTAGTGGACATTTTAAATGGGTCAATTGGCAGTGAAAATGAAAACAATACAATGAGACTTTAAAAAAAAAAAAAACAAAAACAAAAACAATGAAGTAAACACAGCTGAGAATAAACACTTTCAAAACATTTTTAAAAAGTTAATTTAAATTTCTTACTGGCTTCATGAGATTGGTACTGTACAAAAGCAGAGAACTGATAATGTCTTATAGTAGGCACTAAGTTAAAAATGGTCACCTAAGGCATTTCTACAAATAGACAGTAACAAGCCAGCTTTGTACATCCTATTGGAAAGCTTGATGAAATCGTGGTAGGGTGGTGGTTGTGCTTAGACTGCTCGTGAAAGCTGCTGACAATGAGTGCAGAGACCCAAGACCTATACTATTGCTAGGATCTTGTGGATCCTGTGTCTGTGGTGGAAGTTGAGTCATAGAAGAATGTGCCTCCTCCTGCGTGTAACTCATTCCAAGGTTTCCCACCGAAACAGAAGGATTATAGGGAGGGCCGTTGACGGGTATGAAGTTGAACAGCTGAGAAAAGTCCAATGACGGGGTGTTTAGAGGTTCACTAATAGGAACGGAGCCCTTGGAAAGGGAAACCTCCCCAGACCCATCATCTAGTGGCCCTACTTGTGGATCCAGCCCTAGTTTTGATGAAGATGCTTGAGAATCCTGGGATGAAGAAGGCATACCACTTTGCAACTCCATTAAGTAACTTTCGATTTCCCCTTTCAAAGGCTGTTCTTTTTCAGGCATAGAAACTGCATATGAGGTAGAACTGAGCGGATATTTCAACGATAGCTGGTGCGAAGGGTGGACAGACTCCATATCTATTGGACAAGGCATCCCCAATGGTAATGATGTGGCAACCATTTGGTGTGCAGATGCAGAACTCTGCATGGACTGAATCTGAGTGTTGTAGAGATTTAATTGCAAAGTGTTTGTAAATGGCTTTGATGTCAGTTCACTGGAAGGTAACGACATCACTGGAAGCAGCTCATCCTTGATAGGCACAGAAACGTTGCAGGTAAAGGGATCTAGAAGGTCCATTGGCTCTGTTTTGACCTTCAAAAGTTCTTGGTTGTGACTTTTCTTCATGTGGCGCGTTAGGTGATCCTTCCGCCCAAATCTCTGTGCACAGTACTGACAGAGGAAGTCCTTTCTTCCAGTGTGCACTACCATGTGTCTACGGACATCCTTTCGGGTGTAGAACCGACGATCACAGTGTTCACACTGGTGTTTTTTCTCCTTCACTCCACCCGATGACTTGCCTGCATGAGTTTTTAGGTGCTCCAGCAGCACTCCTGTGCTTTCAAAAGTCTGCAAACATACCTTACAGGTGAGGTCACCGCTTGTTGCAGCATGCAAAGCCAGGTGACGTTTGAACCCAAGCTTGGTATTGTAGTTCTTTCCACATTCTTCACACTTAAAGGCCTCTTTGTTGGGATTGTGTGTATGTAGGTGATTCTTTAGGTGATCTTTTCGGTGAAACATTTTCTCACAATAATTACACTTGTGGGTTTTCTCAGGAGAATGAGTAGCCATATGCCTTTAAACACAGATATATTCTGTAAGTAATTATTTTGATCAAAAAACACACGTGCTCATTTTTTTAATGGCAGCTAAATACTACACTAAGGTTGCTTTTCAACAGAACCTTTTAACTGAAAGCATGACACTACAAAGACAGTTTGACAAATTAAAATATAGTAAAACACGAGCCATTTCTCTTAAATCGACACTTTAGTTTTGGTGGGTTTTAGCTACTGTAACAGGGGTATATGGGCAAGTATGAAAGTACTTGTGTAAAAGTCCATAGCCAAAAATTTTCAGTCCATACTCTTTTCTTGTGACAATTCCTTATACAAATGCAAATTCTATTCTCATTAAGAAAACAAACAAACAGAAAACAAAAACAGAAAACAAATTAAGAAACAAAATCAAAGACAATAGCTTGCAAACTTATGTAATTTAGATTTCTAGAAACAATCCAATGGCTACTTTTAATTAACACATCCTCTCTGCAATCAGCTGAAGGCGTACACAAATATATACTTTTACACGGCTTAACACGGCCAACATAAAATAGATAATATAATCTGAAAGATAAATAGAGTTTAATACCTTAGTAATTTGTACTTAGAAACAAAGGCCTTGGTGCAGTCTTGTTGTGTGCACTTGTAGGGCCTCTCTCCTGTGTGAGAGTATGAGTGAACCTTTAATTTCTCAACACTGTTAAAGGCCTTGTCACACAGTTGGCAAGGAAAGTTTTTTCTTGGTTTGGTTTCACCACGCTTACGTTTCCCTGAAGGGACTTTCTGGGTATCTCTTACTTCTGACAAATCACCAGGAATGACAGTGGCCATCGCAGCCTAAACCAGGCCTTCTTGTTGGACACTTGGGAATTGCCCAACTCCACTAAATGATTTAGCTTTAGATGGCTTCTCAAGTTTCATGTGGTCGTAAAAGAAAGCAAAAGGGGACTGGAAAAAAAAAATAAGAAACAACTAGTTTGTAACTAAACTTAAATTCTGAAGTTTACTTGCTATGTGATGCTTCTGAATAAAAGTTAAAAATAAAATTAGGTTCAGCTGGTCTAATGTAATACCTGTAGGTTTCTTTACACTATTTGCTGCAACTCTTATAATGCATTGCTCAGGATGAACAGATCCACATATGCCCTGAAATTACACCTCACAACCTTCCCCTCAGGCATTGATGGAGAACAGCAAAGTTTGTCAGGTTTCAGGAGGCATCAGACAAAGAACTCACTTCAGAACATATGAAGAAAGCTTTTGGCAGCTTCAGGTTTCAAAGGAATTAAAGTTGTGCCTGTGGTGTTTGTACAGACATACACACACATGCACGCACACATGCACATACACGGTTATCAAAATGAAAATCTGTACATCTTGAAATGCAACTGGGAGTTTGAAAATCTACACGAAAAGCAGCTTTTTGGCAGTTTGGGGTGGGGGGGGGGTGCGAAGCTCACACTCTCTGGTATATCGGCTAATTTTGGTTACTGTTTGCATGTCTTTTCTAGCAAAATGCAAACATTTACGATCATTTCCAATGCCGAGTGAAATTCTCCTCTGCTAACAGAGCTGTGATGTCTCACTAACAAACTTCATGGATTAGGCTTTTTATCAGCCCAGCATGGGAAACCTGCATTTTCCTCAAACTACCCTGCAAGGCGCAAGGGTTATAAGTGTGGAGGTTGAGGTTAGCTTGGGATGAAGGCTCTCAGACCTTCAGGAGGAACCTAGCCCTTCCTGATGCGCTGCAAACTGTGAATGAAACCAGCAGCCTTTGGCTACAGGAGGTGTGTGATGCTCACATCTGAATCTGTTGGCAAGGATGACTTTAAATTCACCATCTGGTAACGTATGGTAGCAACTGGGTGCCTGTGACTACAGGGCACTCAACAATCCTCCACTGTCAGAAGTCACTAACAGAATCACCAGAGCACAATTGCTACTTTAGATGCTCAACCCAGCTCTGTCCATGGTGGGAAGGGCCAAATGCGAGGTCTGCGGCATCATGGACAGAGAGGAGGGCGGCAGGAGGGCTACACTCAATGCAAACAGCGGGCAGGGCTGAAAAGCCCCACATTAGGCCTTTCTCCCACAACACTGACAATTCCCCCCACCCTGGTGTCACAGCCCTGCAGCTGCCATCCAGCCCGGCCCCCACCAGCACAGCTGCGCAAGAACAGGCCGGGCTGGGCCGGACGGCAGCAAGGCTGTGGGCAGAGGCTGAGGCTTGGTGGCTGGCTGTCCCCGTGCCCGCTTGCAGCAGGGCCAGGGAAGCCGGCAGCTGCTGGGACAGGTGGAGCAGAGCAGCCAGGAGTCAGGCAGGGAGCACCAGGCAGCAGCTGCTCCGGCCTCGTGCCACCTCCCCAGTGAGCAAAGCAAACTCATCCCAGCCGGCAGCAGGGGAGGCCTGGTAAGCTCCAAAGCCCCTGCCACAGCCCAGCGCCGTGCTGGAAGAAAGCGAGGAAGAAGGAAGGCCTGTGTTTTCCTCAGGCTGTGACAGGACAGGAGGGCTGTGTCAGCAGGGAGGTAGAGAAGAAGGGAACGTGCCTTTTTAATATCTGCATGTGTATTTTTAAGAATGCCTCAGATTTGAGATTTCCATTTGAAACACATATATATAGAGTAACATCTTTGTCTATGCCTCTTCCTCCCTCCTTCCCATAACTTCTCCCTTGTCTTTGTAAAAGGAAAGAAACACTGGCAGACCAAGATGGAAATTTGCTACCTTTCAACCCTATAGTCTTTGAACAGCAGATTAAGCTGTACCACACTCCTAAAGCAAGAGGTTTTGTAAGACCACCTTTCCTCCCACCAGATTGACATGGAACCACTAACTTCTTTAAAGATACCCAGCAACAGTAAAGGTGTTTCTTTAAGGACTCTTATTTCAGATTTGCCTCTGACTCATTCTCACTCATGGGATGAAGCCTAGGGACAACAATTCCATGACTGGGAATGTGCAGAGGTCTTCAAAGAATCAGCTTAATTTCAGTTTCTGTCTCATAAGCGATTTTCTAGCTTATGAGTGAAAAAAAAATTGAAGAGTTGTTTGGAGACTTGAAATCAAAGTATTTCTGCATCAAGAGTAAATGAAGACCAATTCCAAAGACTTCAATGGAGCTGCTAATTGTAATTAAGAAGAGAATCTCATTCACATGATGAATTTGTAGATTGAAAGATTTTTCAATATACACTTTAATTATGATCTGGTAACATCATTTATTGTGCCTTCCGTAAACAAACACACTGGTCTTCTATGTACATTGGCCTGAAGATAGAATGAAACTTGTTCTAGCCATTTTCACAGAATCACAGAATTGTAGGGGCTGGAAGACACCTCTGGAGGTCATCTAATCCTCCTGACAAATGAAGTTCTGGGGAAGAAAAAGATACCAGCACACTCTATGCTTGTACATAGTGTTTTCACATCCTGTGGGCACCTACATGGCTTCACTGCACAGTAGCATCTCCAGGAGTGTCCTGAAGCATCTGATGCCTTGAAATGGGCCACTACCTGTTTGCAAAATCCCCACCCAGCCTGAGAAGGGCAGGCAGCATTAGTGCAAATACTAAAGGGAACATCCTCTATTGCTTGCTGTAAGGGAGCATGATTAATTTGAACATGCTGAAACAAAGCAGCAGGTGGCCTCCGTGCTCAACAGGTGACAAGGGAAAAAGCAGGCAGGACTGGTGGGATGCAGGCAAGGTTAGCTGTTGGGTGAAAAGTGGAGAGAGTGGACAAAATTTTGAGGCATGGGGTACTGACAGTTGTGGGGAGCACTGCGTATGGATAGGAACATCCAAGGACAAGACAATGGAATAATCTGATAATGCTGAGGGGCAAGTGGGGGGGGAGATGAAAACACATCAAGCTGGAGAGACTCAGGATATTATTAGATCATGCAAAGGGCGATGCGCAGGGTCTGATTCTGATGCAAAGCATGCTTGTTGTAGAACAGCATATGAAGTTTAACTCTTAATGTAAACAGCACTGACAACTTCTCACTCCTGTTCTAACTGCAAGGATCACACCCAGGCTTGAGGCCATCCTATATTCAGGCCAATATTATGTTACTTCCATCTTCTCCAAAACCTCGGGTAACTTAGTTGCTGTACCAGATGTAACTCAGCACATTTGTGTGAATGAAGAATTCAAGTTTTGTTTCTCTATGATCAAAACTAATTAAGCTGATTTTGAACTGCATTTAAGTGTCCTTAACAATGCATTATTAGAACAAATATAGTATGGATTCAATCTTTGGCAATGACAGTGTTTTATTAAAAAAAAAAAAACGCATGTAAACACTCTTTATCTCAGTATTGTTTCTCAACAGATGAGGCAATCAAGAACTTCAGTATTGATTCCTGAATAGTAAATAATCATCTTTTTTTTCTTTTCTTGTGGATATATAGACTGAGCAATGGAGATACAACTTAAAAAAACACTGATCCTCAAATATTACACTTTCCAAAGACCAGCTGAAAGAATTTTATGAGTAATATTGCCTGTTTGTGTCTCAACATAATTATCACTTAAAATCCTCATTCTTATTGGTGCTTTCACAACTGCAGGATGAATGATTATATGCAGTATCAAATATAACAAACACATTACACGAAAGCTCATATGTAATACTATTTTTAAAGAAGCATATACTTAAAGCAGGAATAAAGTAGCTTCTGTTCAATGCACACCTGATGTTTGCCCACTAAAGTCCTCAGATTTTGGTCTTAACCAGTTCCGCTGACTCTTCTTGGAGGAAACCAGAATCCAGTACTTCCCATTTTTACTGGTCTGAAAAAGAAAAGGAAGAATGGACTAGACTCCAGCTAAACCAGGATATTCAGAAAGGCTGGAATGTGGCAAGACTGGGAGTTGGAAAGAATCAGGAAGGAAAAGTTAAAAGGGACAGAACCGATCCATGCACTGAACATTATGTACTGTTAATTATAAACTGTATGAATCAACTGCTCTTGCATTATCAGTAGCAATTATGCACTTCAATTTCCAATATACTTACATCATTTCAACTAACGCTATGCTGGACAGTAGTACAAAGAAATAAAATAAGACAAAAGCAAAGAAGTTTTCAATAAAGTTAAAAACAAAAAATCCACAGACCACAAATAATTTAGAAATAACAGCAAAACATGTAAAACACTGGGCCCAGAATTGAGTTTCTTACTTAGAAAAGACTGAGTAAGAGAAGATTTCTGGATTAGGCCCAACTCTACTAGAACCTAATGCCTTCATTCTGCTTAATTATACAGGAAATAGCAGCTTAAAAGGTGACCTGCAAAGGAAAATAAAATTAATTTAAAAAAATAATAAAGCATCTTAATGATGTACATGCTACAGGTAAATCCCAATAGAGGGCAAGTCTAGGTGTGTCTGAGCAAATCCAGAGGGACTTTCTGGAATTTCCCTTACAACTCCTTTTTTCCTGCCTCTACCCTTTTATGAAATTGCAGTACATCTCCCTTTTCCTGCTAGAAGGCCTCCTGGATGATACAGGAATATAATGGAAACACACTCAGCACTTCATTCTAAGGGATAGGCTTACCCCTTCCAACTCATCTAAGTATGCAAGAGAAAAGCTCCATATAGCACACATACACTTGGTGTTATATCAGGCTGGAGGTATCTGGTAGGAGCTATGGCATCATGCAACATTGCCCCCTGTACAATTTTCCTGTCCCATTTTCCATTCTCTCCACTACGGTTTTCTTTTTGGGTTCCAAGTTCAGCCTTGCGCCACCCCAACTTCTTCTGCTGGTAACTATGGATGTGAGAAAACCAGTGCTTTTGAAAACCTATCAAAAGTGAGAGTGCTTTACAGTAACCCACCAAGGCTTTCTGGCAGCCTAAACAGGAGTTTACCTGGGGCTTTTTTACATGCAGGTAGGGGGTAGAAACAGGTTCAGTACTCAAACCCAAATCGAAAGCTTTGTTTTTAACTAACAAGAAAGTGCACAGACACAACTCTCATCAAAACCACTTCGTTCTGGGGAGAAAATGCTGATGACTCCTTGTGCAGTCTCCCAGCAAGACCATTATAAGCTAGTTACCCTATGATGCCTACCTCAATGTCACCCACAGCAGAAGAGCTTCATTATCCAAAAGTTTCTACTACAGTAGTTGGTAATAAGCAGACAGCATTTCAGACAGACATAAAAATTTAATGAACTATGTCCAAAGAGACTTAGTCCATTCAATATTGGTATTTACAGACTATTTCCAGTTTGTTTGTTTGTTTGTTTTTTAATTCTATCTACAGTAATATAATGCCCCCTCAACTCTTCAACGATTATTGTGTCGAATTTTCACATCTGAAGGAGCTCTAGCAAAAAGCAGATGGCTTCAGGGACAGGTCATCAGAGGCATGGGAAGACTATCAAAGCATGTGAAACTGGAGCAACTGGAACAAGTAAATAAAGAAGGTAAATGCCAAATGTAGTTGAAATGCTGAACTGAATGAAGGAGAAAGTCAGGTACTCTTATTCATTATCTTACAAACAAAGCACAATTGCAATGTAGTGAATCCAGACGTGGGCAATTCTGTACCTACTACAATTAGCTGGGATCTCAGTTTCTACAAGACCAAAGCCTGCTTAAAGAGCTCAGAGAGATACATACAAAAGAGGAAGAGATTCTGTCACATTTGACAGAAACAAATGTAAAAAAATACATATATTTAAATTCTATATTCTACAGCAGTCAATCTGCTAAAAGACTTTCTTATGCACAGAATGCCAAAGTTGTCCACTACAATGCTCATTTTTAGACTATCTTCCTCAGAATCTTCTGGTGCTAGAAAATCTCCAATGCAGAATACTGGACAAAGATGCACCATTCTTCTTGTAACTGCCTATAGTTGCTAAGCTTTCAATCAGATGAGATAAGAACAATTTTTTAATCAATACTAAAGCTTAAGTTATTGTCCACGTGAGGCAGAGAAGCACCACACTGCAAAATGCACTGTTGTATGTGCATGCCTGAAATCCATGTGGGAACTTCTATAATTTGTCAGATTATAATTCTAAGAATTATTCAGATCTTCTGCTATCTGTCAGGCCTTAACTTTGCTAACCTTAAAGGCATCCAGATCATTGCCAGTTAGACTATATTTGAATGAACAGCATCTAAAGAGCCAAAGGAAAAAAAAAAAGCCCCCCCATGACTAAGCTAAATTTATTCCTGCTTTTGATAATAAATAGAAAGTCATTCTTTTTTCCAAAATTCACAGGTCATCCTTCAGAAAGAAATAGGTGCACTTAGAAATGCTTTAAAATATAATGCAATGTGTAAACTAAAAGGATGATGAAGACATGAAACAAACACAACTAATAATCCTCCTCCTAGCTTGCATTTCTTATTTTAAATAAAGGAAATCATCGGTGTCATGGTTATTTTCTTTCAAAATAGGGTTATAATGTGAGCACAGTGTTGACTGTGAGGTGAGCATGTACTCTAATGAACAGGATCAAGTTCTCTGAAGATACTGACATACTTCCAGGCTGGGCCTGTGAATCCTCACGACTGCTACCATGAGTAGCATAAGTGAAAGAACTGCCCAGCTATGCTGTTCTTCTCACTACTACACCTAGTGTGAGATGGAAGTACATGGGCAGAAGCTGATGGCCTCGCTGGGAGCACGGTGTGAGGACAGGAGAGCTGAAACATGGACTGACAGCTCAGTTTGGGATGAGAGGGGGGATGAACATGTGCAGTCAAGGAAGACAAGAGCTGCTGCTGCTGCTGCTAAGAGTGGTAATGGATAAAACCAAGGATGGCCCTGTTTAACCTCTCTCAGATTTGCCACCAAGGAGTAAAGATTCTTTCAGAGTAAAGGACAAAAGATCACTTTTGGTATCCCTGCGGAAAATGTGTATGGAAGAACCACACCTATTGTAGTGTAAGTAGCCATTTTTTGTCTTTTTTATATCAGGGGATTAATAAGTAGCTACAGAGAAGCAAAAATACTGAGGAAACCCAGTCTGGCACACCAAGCTGCCAGGGTGATAGCACCAGTCAGTGACAGCAAGGGCAGCAGATCTAGAGGAAGCCTCAAGGGACAGCGTAGCCACATCCCTTGGTACAGAAGAGCTAAACTGGCAGACAGGCAGCACCTTCACTTCAGTGCAGCGGAACTGAATGAGAAAACTCCTCACCAGGTCTGTGTGTCAACTAGGGCAATCCAAATTGCATAAATGTCATCAGGACTCCTGAAGATGAACAAATCTACCACTGGGTTCAGGCAACCGAAGAAGGAGAACCACTTAGCCTGCTCCCATCTTCTTTGCTCTATCAGCAGTCAGTTCAGTTTCCAGAGGCGTGGATTTAAACCTTTTTCCTTTCAACTCCTCTGATAGGACAATTGCTGAAAAAGGCAGGCAAAAGCATGCTGGAATCTACAGCCTTTAGGCTTCCCCCCGATCATCAAGGACCACCAGGCCTACTGCAGGCTTGTACTGACTGGGACAAATGGTAGTCAGTCTCTCTGACTTTGTAGAAAAATGTTGCAGTTTTGCAGCAGGATAAACACCTCAAAATAGCTGCAGAAGGTCTAGCCTCCAACCTGAGTCTTCCAGAGATACCTCCTACTGACAGTGAACTTGCATTATGGGAAGATCTCAGCTGCAAAAGTTGACCAATGAAAACGGTCAAGCTTGCAATAAAAATTCATGCTTAACTGGCAAAGATGCTGAAGAATGGATGACTTCAGGGGTGTCTTTCTCAGCATTCAATTAAAGTCAGTCTTCTGACAGGTGCAGGTGTCTACATCACTATTTGTTCTTGGCAGGTGATCTGATACACACTCATTTGAACAGCATGTCACTTCTTAAAGGAAATAGCACAGCCTGCTCACCTTTGCTGCCATTGTTTAGAAGGACAAGGGTAGGAAGATGCAGATTCTCCCCAGTTCATTCTTGTGAGATTGATAACCAGAAGTTGGTTTAACCAGGGTGCCTACCTAGGCCAGAAAGGCTCATGTCTGCAGTTCCAGAAGATTATACTTCATTTAATTTTCTGTCTGCTTTATTGTGTAATTTGGAAGAGATTTGAACAGCAAACAACATGTACACACACGTTTCACCCCTAAGCAAAGAAGACACCTGGCACGACTGTCTATAAACACGGCACTGCCAAACGGCAGGATGGACGGATTTCAAAGCCTAGAGCACTGCCTTCGGCCATTGTGCAGGATGGCAGAGAGAGGAAGGGAGCCAACAGGTATGTTATCTTGCACTAGCAGAGAACTGGCTAGGTTTTTTAAGTTGATCTTCTCTCACAAGCCTGAAGAAAGATAAGAGAAGACCAAGGAACACACATGGAGGCCCCAGTGGGTGATGAGATGACACTGAGAGGTGGGTGGCCACTTGGCCTTTTACAGTTTTGGATAAGAGATACTGTAAATAGATGTTCAAAGATGTAGACACTGGCTCAACTTTAAATAAGCATTTCATGTAAGAGAAGCATGTGTACATACACAAACTAATCACAAAAGAAACAATGATGTTTTGAGTTTTTGTTTTGTTTTTAATACAAGGCTGTATTTGTCTTATCATGAAATTCAGGGCTTTCCCTTATTATCAGGAAGCCAATTTCAGAAGAACCTTTTAGTTTGGATTCACATTCTAGTCTGCCCTGTGCAGGGATAGCTGAACGACCATGGCAGCAAGAGCACACGCAGGCTGCAGGAAGACAAAACAAAATCCAAGCACGCAGCAGGAGGAAAGCTACTGCAGGGGAATGGAATGATGTGGGCAAAACAACGAAACTATCTATCTGGTGATCTTGGGTATAAACATAAGAGTGACTTAAAATAATAATGCACAGGACTTCACCCTTGGGGGAAAACAGTCTTACAGCTAAAACATAACAAATTAACATAAGCACTGAAACCAACATGAGGCAACCGCCTTAGTCTACCGTCAGTGACAGCACGTTGCTGATGCCTATCACGGAATGGCTGGGGTTGGAAGGGACCTCAAAGATCACTTAGTTCTAACAGCCCTACCATAAGGAATATTGCCAACTGCTAGATCAAGCACCAGCTCAGGCTGCCCAGGGCCCCATCCCACCTGGCCTTGATTGCTTCCAGGGATGGGGCACCACAGCTTCTCTGCGCAGCTGCGCCAGAGCCTCACCACCCTCTCAGTGAAAAATTTCCCTGACATCTAATCTGAATCTCCCCTCCTTGAGTTTAAAACCATTCCCCCTTGTCCTATCATTAATACCACATACGCCTAATACAGGCAGTAATGATTATGCTACAAAGAGCGTGACATAAAAGGCAGGAAAATATAAAAATTGAGATATTTCATCAATTCAGAACTTTACCAAATTCTTTTTGAGATTTTTTTTTTCCCCCTTGAAATACATTCACAAAGCAGAGAAACTTTCTGAAATTGCATAAAATTGACTACAGAAAAATATCCACATCCTTTCAAATTAGTGAAAAAGTTGGTTAAGCGAGGAGAACAAATGTCCCAGCCTATTTTTTTCCTATAGTAGTAAGCAAACAGATCTCACCAGTAAACATCTGATAGGCATATGCACTTTTAATAAATACATCCATTATTGTTTTAAACTTAATAAAGCAAACTTTCTAGAGAAAAACTCTGTAAGATGCTTGGAATAATGGCAGTTACAGGAAGATGAGTATTTATCTCAATGTGACTGCTACTTACAACAGTTTTTTCCTTGATTATAAAACTTGTTGCAACTCTAAAAAGCTGTGCCACAGTCAAGAAATGTAAACAACCAGCTTTTTAATTTTAGAAAATAACTCACTCTTATACTATGCAACACTAGAAAGAGCATTACATAAAATCCTGTTGTGTTTGCCTTTTTTTTTTTTCCCTTGAGTTTCTGGAAAAGTAAAACACGATTTTACCAGTTGATGAGTTTATTTTATCATGACTTAATAGTCCGTAATTTCAAAACAACAACAACAAAAAACAATCACAGCACTACCCAGCATTTCTCTGTACTTAAATTACTCACGTCCACTTTAAATCTTGAGAGCTCAGTTTTGGTGACTAAATATTCCAAAGGATTCCTGCTGATATAATAAATCAGGGAAAGCAAGAACTGACTAGAGATAACCCATCTGATGCTCATGGCTTTTATATGCTTTAAGAATTTCCATAACACTGCACAGACATTTTTCTAAAAACTCTGGCAAGGCTGTGATGCAAACAATGTTGATGTAATTAGTTTCAGAATGTTTAAAACATGTAAAAGTGCCTCTATATATTTTAGAATTAAAAAAAAAAACAAACCCAAAAAACACACACATGCACAAAACAGCCCTAGAACCTACCAGGAACAATCTGCAACCATTCTTAAACGGATGAAAGCAAACTTTGTGTAGTAACCAAGCTCCTCTCCATATAGGACCATGCCATTCTAACAATAAACTCCAATGAAAAACAAATCCTGTATATGTACAAGTAAACACAAACACATATCCAAAGCATATCTGTGAGATCCTACAATAATACAATTAACAATTAATTCATATCCAGAAGTAGTTATTTTAATTTGTCTCAAGAGTAAAACAAGACACTCAAACCTCTTAACATGAGAGTCAAGTATGTGAGACAAATTAATGGTACATCTTCTCCAGTATTCTGTCTCTAGAAATAGCCAAAATAGGCAAAGAATCTGTGATATCTCCCACCAACACTCCTCAGACTTCCAACTACCTTGATGCCAAGAGCTTCCTGAACATGATTTCTGTTAATTTAGCAACTTTTAGTACGTTGTCCTTCCAAGCAATATTTCAGTTTTTCGGTCTCCCCTTAGAATCCATATCCATTTTTAATATCCACTGCACTGATGTTAAACAGTGGGAGATATCATCTCACATGTCTCTCCACTACCAATTTTATGGAGATGCTCTTACTTTCAAAGGCTTAGAAGTTGTCTTCTCTTAGCTTGGTATGTTCTTGTTCTAAAAGGTAGTGGCCAGTCCTCTTCCTCTCCTCCTCTTCCACTGCAGATATCTGATTTTGCAAATTTTCAGGATGTTGTCCTCAAGTCATTGCTTTCCCAAACCAAAAACCCAGTTTCCATAAGAATTCTTCATTTGATAGCAACCCCATGCATCTCATCATCCCTGTTACCCTTCTCTGAGCCTCTCCCAGTTCTAATAAATTCTGAGATGAAGGTAGCAAAAGTGAACACAGCACTCAGGATACGATTGAACCATGGATTTCATAGAACCATAGAATCATCAAGGTTGGAAAAAACCCACAAGATCATGCAGTCCAGCCATCCACCCAATACCAATAGCTCTCACTAATTTATATACTTTCATAATGACGTTTTCCCTTTTACTCTCTTTTCCCTAATATCTCCTATCATTGGAGTTGTGCTTTGGTGATCAATGAGTCAATGACTCAGAATCATCCCCACGTCTCAAACCTCTGTGGTA